CCAAATGTTGATTTATTCAAACAAATATCCAAATGTTGATTTATTCAAACAAATATCCAAATGTTGATTTATTCAAACAAATATCCAAATGTTGTTCTATTTTAGTAGTAGTTGATCCAATATCCAAATGTTGATTTATTTTAGTCGTAGTTGATCCAATATCCAAATGTTAATTTATTCAAACAAATATCCAAATGTTGATTTATTCAAACAAATATCCAAATGTTGATTTATTCAAACAAATATCCAAATGTTGATTTACTTTAGTCGTAGTTGATCAGTTAACACAAGTCCAATATAAACAAAATAAGTATAAACTCACTTGACTTTAACAGGTATTCATAAAGCGTTGTATACAATTTTAAATAAACATCAGGCGAAAACCACAGGAATTTCTACGTGCTTCGACTAGAACTCGCATATGGTTGGCTGATCATTCGAATAAAACTATGTATAGGTGCTTTGACCCTATACGCTTTCTTTGCTTGTTATTTTGTATCGACCCGAATGTGACAATTGACGTTTCTGTCTGACTTTGTTTTATTCTAACAAAAATATGAAAATACATAAAATACACTAAATATATACGTAAATTTACAAACAATTTACAGTTCTTACATAACAAAATGCTCACATATAGGACAGAAATACATAATCAAACTTTAAATGTCTTACCGAATGTCGATAATCCCGTATTAAAGCTAGTTTTTTGCTATTAAAGTCCAAATATAATCCTTCGAAACAAAACAACAAAAACGTTTTATGTTCGTCGAAAACCCCGGATGTTCACCGGAAACTCGCTAAACTTCGATCACTGACCGGAAGTGTTGAGCTAGCCTCAACATGTATATTTCGAAAAGTGTACAGATATTAGTAAAATGGACCCAATATTAGTAAAATCATATAGCCTATCGAAGGGAAGATGACTGTGAAACTCATTAGAATAACAGGAAGTTCTAGATAGTACGCTCGTTTCAGCTTCGACATGACCCCTTACTGTTGCTATATACCCGACAAAGATTCTGTATATTCTTAAACAACATCTCGCAAAAGATCGGAGTAAAAATATTGAACATGTACTGGTTCATTTTAAGCATTTTAATCGTAATTTATATCTATATAAAAGTGTTTTTGAAAAATGTGACTCAGCCATAAATATGCTTGTCCATGCAAAGCGGACAAAATTACGAACATTAAAATATCAAGTCCATTTCTCCAACATCAAGTCGATTTGACAACTTTCCAGCTCATTTTACAAATATCAAGCTCATTTTACAAATATCAAGTCCATTTTACCAAAAAAATACGAATTCGTTCTTGCTAATTATGTGGTAAAATGGACCCAATATTGTTAAATCATAGCTTATCGAAGGGAAGATTACTGTGAAACTCATTAGAATAACAATATAACTCATTATCTATTCATTATCTATGTTTAGTCAACGTTTATTCATAAATCTGGTCTTCACCGTCACGTGTGCATTGTATTTTCGCCCAACTAACCAATAGCAATATTTTAGGAAAGTTATACCTATCCGTGACTCGAACACCATAATAGGGAAATTGGAAATTGCTATTGGTGGATTTGGCAAAAATACAATACACATGTGACGGTGAAGGACTAGATTTATTAATAAACGTTGACTAACATAGATAATGAGTTATATTGTTATTCTAATGAGTTTCACAGCCATCTTCCCTTCGATAGGCTATGGTAAAATGGACTTCGTATTTGAGAAAACCGATTTGATGTTTGAGAAATGGACATGATATTTCACTGTTCGTAGGTTTGTCCGCTTTGGGCAAGTATACTATAAACCTCGCGATGCATGCAGTTGCATTATCTCATGCTGATTATATAACCCTATACCAACATTACTGATGGATGATTTGATCTGATATTACATAAAGCATTTTTCAAACCAGCGCGTGAACATCGTTTATATTAGGAAAGTCTAACAATTGTCTTACTTCCCGATCAGGTAAATACATGCATAGTGAGAATAAAACGTGACATATACTATTGTGTATCATATCTAGGGCGACGTCGTATATACCATGCATTACAGTCCTAAAATTGTCCGTTGTTTGTAAGGAAGTTGTAAAGAGTTGGTTTCATGCCTATAACTTGACAAAGAGCCTTATTTTGATTCAAACCGACACACATCTTTCTTTATCAATTTGTACAGGAAAGTCTAACCATTATCCTACTTCGTGATTAGGTAAATACATGCATAGTGAGAATAAAACGAGACATATACTATTGTGTATCATATCCAGGGCGACGTCGTATATACCATGCATTACAGTCCTAAAATTATCCGTTGTTTGTCAGGAAGTTGTAAAGAGTTGGTTTCATGCCTAATTTGCTTATAAATTGACAAAGAGCCTTATTTTGATTCAAACCGACACACATCTTTTTTTATTAATTTGTACACTTCAGTCCAAATTATCTTTATAAATGTGAACTATGTAAGGTATTGTACTATGTTATTAGCAAAATCGCTTTGGATATAATTAAAATAACAGGAAGTTTTAGATAATACGTTCGTTTCAGCTCCGACATGACCTCTTACTGGGTGCTATATAGGGCGACGTCGTATATACCATGCATTACAGTCCTAAAATTGTCCGTTGTTTGTAAGGAAGTTGTAAAGAGTTGGTTTCATGCCTATAACTTGACAAAGAGGCTTATTTTGATTCAAACCGACACACATCTTTCTTTATCAATTTGTACAGGAAAGTCTAACCATTATCTTACTTCGTGATTAGGTAAATACATGCATAGTGAGAATAAAACGAGACATATACTATTGTGTATCATATCCAGGGCGACGTCGTATATACCATGCATTACAGTCCTAAAATTATCCGTTGTTTGTCAGGAAGTTGTAAAGAGTTGGTTTCATGCCTAATTTGCTTATAAATTGACAAAGAGCCTTATTTTGATTCAAACCGACACACATCTTTTTTTATTAATTTGTACACTTCAGTCCAAATTATCTTTATAAATGTGAACTATGTAAGGTATTGTACTATGTTATTAGCAAAATCGCTTTGGATATAATTAAAATAACAGGAAGTTTTAGATAATACGTTCGTTTCAGCTCCGACATGACCTCTTACTGGGTGCTATATACAAAGATTCTGTGTATTCTTAAACAACATTTCGCAATAAAGAGTAAAAATATTGAACATCTACTGGTTCATTTTATCTTTTTTAATCATAATTTATATAATAATATACATATAAAAGTGTTTTTAAAAAATGTAACACAACTTTAAATATATGCTTGCCCAAAGCGGACAAAATTACGAACAGTCAAATATTTTCCAACATGAAGTCGATTTTACAAATATCAAGCCCATTTTACAAATATCAGGTCCATTTTACAAAAAATACGAAGTACATCTTCCTAATTAGGTTCATAATTATTCAACCAATGTATCATTTTCATGGTAATTTATTCAACCATCGAACAAACATTGCGTATTTAACCAATAAATTTTCTTGTTAATCCCGAAAAACCAACACTAAAATGGATAAGGGGACACAAGAAGAGAAATTTAAGGCTATGAGCCTAGCGGACTTCAAATTTTACTCATAAAATCGAGGAGTTAGCGTGAGTATTTATCTCAAATACGGACTCATTCCGGTAGCTATTATACATGCCCCGTTGAAGACAATTTATTATAAATCTGCGTCTTTGGTTCCTTTGCTAAATAGTACTACCAAATCATTTCATATTACGTTCTGCCATGTTTTTGTCCGATGTTGAAGACTGATTTCCACATCATCATTGAATAAATTATGAAATAACTTTTGTAAAATGAACTTGATATTGGTAAGATGGACCTAATTATATTGGTAAAATGCACTCGATATATGAGAAAACCGACTTGATGTTCGAGAAATGGACTTGATATTTTACTGTTCGTATAATTTTTGGGCAAGCATAGTAGCATACATAGCCTCGCAATGCATGCAGTTACATATTATCTATAACTGATATAGTCTATACTGATTAATCCTACCAACATTACTGATGGATGGTTTGATCTGATACTATACCTATAGCATTTTTCAAACAAAGCGTCGTTTATATTAGAAAAATCTAGCCATCTTACTTCGCGATTAAGTAAAAATACATGCATGGTGCGAATAAAACCAGGAATATTAATATACTATTCCTCATCATCATCATATCCAGGGTGACGTCATATATATCATTACAGTCGTAAAATTACCCGTTATTTGTCAGGAAGTTGAAAAGAGTTGGTTTTATGCCTATATAACTTGACGAAGAGCCTTGGTTTGAGTCAAACCGACACGAAAAATTTTCAGTTAGTTTCGACACAATTCACAGACAGAAGGCAATAAGCTATGCTATTTTGCACACTTCCAAATTGTCTTCGTGAATGTGAACTATATGTAAGGTTCGATAAGGTATTGTACTGTGTTATTACATTATACGTTCGTTTCAGCTCCGACACGACCTCTTAAAAATTCAAGTTCCAGACCTTATTTTGGATCTATCCACCCAATCACTACCAAACTGGCCTAGAATGAAGAACTAGTCATTAGCTACAATTCGGTTTGTACACAATCAGAACAACTTCAATGTTGCCATGGTAACGTCAAATAAGCTCGGCATTATGGAGAATCTATGGAAGCAATATCTCAAGAACAAAAATGGATATGACCTCCAAACTTTGTGGAGTTGTTCTATATGTGCTAATGTATGCAAGAACCAGACAAAATTTCATTTGGTAAAATTGCACTGTCCGAATCATAAAAATGGACCGTTTCCATGGTTACAAATTTAATTTATAAAATTTTAAAAAACTGTCTGGTTATTGCATAGAACACCTTAAAATACACATATAGTCCAAAAATCAGAGCAAATGATCAAAACTGCTGTGATTTATATGTTCCAAACCATTGTCATAGCAAAATTTCACTATTATCGGAAAATTGAAGTTAAATATAAACAATGTTTTACAATAACTAGCTGCAACATTAATGGGGCATAAATTAAAATAATTGTTAACTAGGGCTTCCAAGGGTCCAGATAAGACAAACTTGTGTACTTACATTGCCCTTTCACAATAATTCTTGTTCATAATTATTAATTTACACAGTAAAGTTCCGTTTATTATTTGCCAATAACTTCGAAGACTGGCATCACAAACTTAATTTTAGGTTGTCCATCTGTACTTGTGTCCTTGGTTGTTCTCTTTCGTTTATTTTTTACTATCCCCAGTGGCTTTGAACTCAGATCAAAACCACCAGGTTGATATGCATTTTGGTCACCCTTTGCCTTCCGTTGTGCTCGTAGCTTTCGTCTTTTTTCCCGGTATTTTGCACTTATTTTCTTTGCAGCAGACTTAAGGCGAACTTGGTCTTGTGCTCGAAGTGCTCTCATGGTTCGGACACCAGGGCTAGTAATGCCACACAAATTCATGATGACTGCTTTGCTGGCAGCACCAGTGTTGAAAACAGCCACGGTTTCGCATACAGCTATCTGTACACGCCTAGCACCACAGAACCGAGTCTTCAGACATCTTGACCACAATCGTTCTGGTTTTGGGTCATCCCTTGCAAACATCTGTTCAGTAAGCCATCATTGGACAATCTCACAAAAGTAGGTTCAAGCTCTTTCATGAAGACTGCAGGTAGCCGATTATCTTCGTTGTACAGTGAAGTATTTTCTTGTTTGTCCTTCCAATACTTGCACCATGTGTCCGATGACTGTGGACAGTGCTTATGTTGCTCCCGCAATGGCAACTTCTCATTTTTTACCATATGATGTAGTATGGCACTGATGCTGGTTTGCATACCATTCAAATCCCCCTTGTTTCCTCTGATTGCCGTCCCATAATAGTTCTGCATTTTATCAATTATTTTGTCAGTCAATCGTCCTTTCCCACCAACTGCTTTACCATCACTAAGCTTCTTTCCCTTCCTGTCATTTTTATACTTTCTCAAGGCTGTTCCAAGTCTTTTCTGGACATGTCCAACACATTCTTCTTTAGTAATTTCATATGTAGCCCCATATTTTGCAAATAGAGCATCTTTTACACTGCCGAAACTACTACTGTCCCCGTCACCAACGAATGTTGTATACTTCAGTTGCCTTGAAGTGATACTTCTGCTGAACATATCCACAGCTGCCACAGCTTCCATCCCTTCAGAAGAACCTTTATGGTTAATTGAACAGTTTGGTTCATGAACTTTCATCCAGTCTTTGTATTCATTGTTTTCTTGATCCTGAGCATGGGCCTTGCACTCATGGCAAAATAGCGACTTCACCTCATAGTCTAGGATTTCACCAGTGTCTACTGAAATGACAAATACCACCCCTATTTTGGAGGAGTGGCCTCTTTTCTGCCAAGTACCATCCACTGAAACTGCAACTCTAGCAATAATTGTATCTTCATCATTGTCCTCAATGTCCTGAGGTCGTTCTGTGGCAACTTTATCTTTCAACCGGTTTGCTGCATCTTTCATAATTTTCTCTGCATTGCTTTTTGCTGCCTGTTCGATCTGTTTTAAATGTTCATTGTATGCCTTTTTTGCAAGTGGAGGAGGTAAATTCATTCCTGCACAAAAATTTGCCAATCCCGCATGGCCAAACTGATGTGAAGACAACACAGCTCGGCGATTCACTTCACGAGGACCACCACCTTTACCACCCAGACGCTTACTGGTTGACAAAGGGGTCTCTACATCACAGGCTGAGCACTTCAGGAATAGTGATTCACACAATCCTTCTCTCTCGTTATTTTTTTGATAAATTTGCAGTTTCGAAGAAGCCAAACGGCATGAACTGCATATTGCGGCGTCTGATATGCAGTCATTCAATAGAACAGCATCCTGTACTTTGAATCCTGTGGCAATTTTAACGTTTGTTCGGCATCCAAGTCCAATATCTTTGGCTTGTTAGCGAGTCAGAACACCTCCACTGCTTTCAAATTATTGGAAAGAACTGTTCAGTAGCTTTTTCTCTGACATATTTTTAATATCTGCAACTGAACTTCGAACGGAGGAATCACTAACAGCAGACGAAGTGCTGGGAATACAATGTAGAGGAGTCACGCCATCACGCAAGTGGTCGGTCCATCTTTCCTCTCCCAAACAAAAAATCCCTTAGAAAACGGCTGGCAATCGATTGATAAGGATTAGACTCACTATAATTTCGCTCAATGACTGCCACTTCGAATGTAAACACAAAACTCAGCCAAGTTTGTTTGTTGTTTCAGAGGCATGGATCGAGAAAGACTATTACATATTCATACCTTAAAGGGGGGATGACTTGTTAACAGAGAAAGGGGGTTGGAGGAAAAAACAATGTATTTGGGGGTTCTTGGGTTAAAAACCCCATAGCAACCATAGTAAACAAAATTACCAAAACGGCTGCTATGGATAAATCTTCCAGACCTTTCCATAAATTTAATGTTTTTGCAGAAACGTTAACTCTTTTAATTACAAAACCGGGAAAAAAAATTGGAGTCCTGAAACTACAATAAATGATGGACCAAATTATGTAAAAATAAAATTTTCAAGAATTTAACTTGCTTATGATAATTTAGGGTAGACTATCATCTTAAGATAAGTTAGCTTGTCTTTGCTCTCAATTTGTGCTCACAATTTCTAATCGTGATATTTCGCATCAGGATAAAGACCTCGGTCCAGTACCAGGCGAAGTCTACTTTCTCAAGCAAATGAAATACCATCCAAATGTCATCAAGTTTCTGCATTATCAAAAAATAACATCCGAAATGTTCGTGATCATTTGTGAAAGAATTGCTAACTGTAAAGATCTTCTTGATGTTCGAAAGGAAAGAGGAGGTTTCTTCACTGAGTATGAAACACAAAAATACGTGAAGACGTTGGTTGATGTTGTCCTTGCAATGGACAAAAAGAACATTGTTCATCGTGACATTAAATTGGAGAATATTCTCTATGACGTCGAGAAAGATGATATCAAGTTGATCGATTTTGGAATGGCAACAAAACATAAACCTGGCAAGCTACATACCACATTTCGGGGTGAGTATACATAAGACTGGTAAACATCATGCACATAGTCAGACAATTTTGAACCATTGAAGTGGTAATTGTGCTAAGAAATTTCATTCGCCACGATCTAATTTACATTTCTGTCCTTTGTTATGGTGAATCATATACGTCAAAAGATTTCTCAATTGTGATTTTCTGAGAGCAATTCAAAATTGAGGAAATACCGTACAGAACAAAAGAAGCATGGTGTACATTTCCTGGCTTTAGGATCAATTATAGTCCGTGTGTTGTGACCCGATATCGTTCACTTTCATTAAGCATGTCTTAGATCTGAAATCAATTTTGACGCGAACTAACACTTTCAAGCACGCTGAGTTCAAATCCGAAAGTTCCCACTCCGTATACACCCGCAGTTTTCTCACAAAATGCTATTTTATCGTCAATAATTTCACGACAAATTTTTTATTGTTCAACGACACGGATCGATGATGATACCCGATTATGTCACTCAAAAGGACCAATAGTCTTCCTTTTAACAGAAGACCGGTTTTATCGGGATTCAACTTGACTGGTCTTCATGAAGCAGATCTTTATTCTGATTTTCACAATTATAGCTCTACACGGTGCAAATTTAATTTAATTAATAAAAACGTTTAGGACAAAATAGTTTTCCATTCTTATATACGTTGAAATAACTCTTATTTAGAGTAACTGTACATTCATGTGTGTGAAAAATAAAAACGTTTCACCGATAGTATTTATAGTATAAATATTTACGTTAGTATTTTATAGTCACCGATAGTATTTTATAGTATTTATAGTAAAAATATTTACGTTAGTATTTTATAGTCACCGATAGTATTTTATAGTATAAAGTCCTCGCTAATATTTCAACACCTTGGTTGGAAACCTATTGAATTAATCCTAAAAAAGCGAGATCTTTTCATAACATTTAAAGCGCTAAAAGGAATTCGTCCAAATTATATACAGGGACGCCGGAAACGGGAGGCGCAGGCGGGCATCACCCTCCTTGCCCTTTAGTAAGGGGGGCAGGGGGGCGAAAGTGCCCCATTCTAACCCAAAAAATATGAGGTACAACGATTAAAAAGTATGAATTACGCGTGAAGTAGACCTAATATTGAAATATACGTGAAATTTTCTGGAATATTAGTCGAAAGTTAGGTTAGCTTTCAAATTTTTTTGCCCTTGTCTTGGTGAATTAAGGTTCCGGAAAATTGTTTTCACTTGTTTTGGCGAACTAAGGTTCCGGAAAAATTTTTCGGAAACGAAATATTAATTAGTGATGGCCCTTACGTCAACATTGCCGCTCTGTGCCATACCCTCGCTCCGTTGTCCCTGTCTATATATCACAATTATTTCATGCTTGTGAAAATAGCGACTACAATCTGCGCAGTAATAACTTAAAATTGTCCCAAAGGAAACCAAAAACAAATTTTTTAAAGAATAGCTTTTCCTATAGAGGAGCAGCGGCTTGGAATAACATCCCAGTCTAAATATTCTAAATTAAAAGAAACAACTAGTCTAACAGCCTTCCATAATATAATAGATAGTTGTTTCAATTCCTTACAATGATTTACAGTACCTTCATAAAATATGTCTGTTTATTAACCTAATTGTTTCATAATATATATTTGTAAATACATTAATTAATTAATTAATTGTTTTTAGTAATGTAATTGTCCACACGGCCCTTTGAAAATCACTAGCTCTCTGTGAAAGGCTACCGTGTTTTAAATAAGATTATTAACAATAATAATAACCGAAGAAAATTTAAAAAGGCAAAGAAAGAATGCAAAAATGTGATTACGTTGTCGCCGTGGCAACGAGAACATTTATATTTTTTGCTTTTCGTAATCCTTAGTATTTACGCAATGTTGTGTGCGAGTTTCGTAATCATATCTTGCAAACTGAGGAAATATTGTGCTAAAGCACAGTTGCATGCGCTAAAACGTTAATACTATATGGAGCCACCTCAAACGAGTTCACAGGGTATGAATCGCATTTGTATTGAGGATTCATTAATCTTATTATACAGCTTGTTTCATGTACATGCAAACAAGACCTCTAGAAATTAACTGAACCTATTGTTGGAATTTGAATGTTTGCAAGAATCAATAGCTTGATTCCTGAAGGTTTCGAGGCCGTGCTTCGATACACACTGTATATATTATCAGTAAAAGTAATAACATTTTTTCTAGTGCAATTTGCATGGAATAAACTTTCAAGCACTCGTTCGTCCTTCAAAGAATGAAAGGCCTCAAATGACACTCGTCCTTCGTGCTCGCGCTAGTGATACTCGAAACCATATGGTATCTACGCCCCCCCCCCCCCATTTACCTATGAAAGTAAATGTTTTCTATAAATTCGCACGCTGACACTTTATATTCTTATGCAGGCAGTGAAACGAACGTCCCACCAGAATTTATTACAGACAGACGATATGATATATCGAAAGAGGCCGTGCGATCTATTGGGATTACAATATATCAGATGTTGTATGGTCGAGCACCTTATACCGATTACAAAAGGTTTTCAGATGTAATATCGGGATTACCACAGTTGGATAACATATCTGATGGTAAGTGCATATGTTCATATTTGAGGGTATATATTATATCAGTACGACTTGAAAATAGAACAAACTGCGACGTTCCGAGCGAAGCGTGACGTAATAGCGTTTAATATGAGTAGAATGACGTTCAATGGAGTGACGTGACAACGTTGAATATGAAAAACCAAATTCAATGTTATGACTTCATGCAATGGAAATACGAAAACGAAATGTAGAAGCACGCCCAAAACAATATGGCGCTGCGTCAGCGCAGCTGTTTTCCGTTACGTAAACCGCCAGAGTTACCAGTAACAATCAGTTTCATCACTTTCAGCGTGCGTCACAACCGGCAACTATCAAAATTAATGAGAGACCACGCGAAACACGCGTTTAAACACACATGTTGTGCTGGCATCTGTAGTAATTATGTATCGAGTATCGATTGCTCATTTTTGGATCAGGAACTGGTCCCCAATCGCTGCTAATCTTCTTCTTTCTTCTTCTTTCTTATTCCTTCTTCTTCCTTCTCCTTCCTTCTCCTTCCTTCCTTCTCCTTCCTTCCTTTCCCTTCCTTCTTTCTCCTTCCTTCCTTCTCCTTCCTTCTTCTCTTTCCTTCTTCTCCTTCCTACTTCTCCTTCCTTCTCCTCCTACCTTCTCCTCCTTCCTTCTCCTCCTTCCTTCTCCTCCTTCCGTCTCCTCCTTCCTTCTCCTCCTTCCTTCTCCTTCTTCCTTCTCCTTCCATCTCCTCCTTCCTTTTCCTTCTCCTTCTTCCTTCTCCTTCTTCCTTCTCCTTCTTCCTCCTCCTTCTTCCTTATCCTTCTCCTTCTTCTCCTTCTTCCTTCTCCTTCCTTCTCCTTCCTTCCTTCTTCCTTCTTCCTTTTCCTTCTCCTTCTCCATCTCCTTCTTCATCTTCATCTTCTTCTCCTTCTTCTTCTTCTCCTCTTCATCTTCTTCATCTTCTACTTCATCTTCTTCTTCTTCATGTTCTTCATCATCTTCTTCTTCATCTTCTTCTTCTTCATCTTCTTCTTCTTTGTCTTCTTCTTCTTCATCTTCTTCTTCTTCATTTTCTTCTTCATCTTCTTCTTCTTCTTCCTCTCTTCTTCTCCTTCTTTGGCTATCATATAATATTCATAATCATAGCCGGAAAATCGCGAAAAACAAAGATATGTCAATTTGTTTTTAGCACAAGCATACAGTTATGAAGCCATGACTAAGCGAAATATATGAACTGCATTAACCTATAGCAACAATTCAGATAATTTGTTACCTTAATATAAGTCCCGTTTACACGGCACGTACCAGCCTAGACCTAGGTCTTTACTCGGCTGGCTTTGGCAGGTATCTTTGGCAGGTTTGGTCAATTTCCGGCTAGCATTTAGTTAATATCGCAATGGTCATTTGCCTCGTAAAGGCCTAGTGGATTTCACAAGTTCTCAAATTAGCCCCATAACTTCTTGATCCGAAATTGATCAGAAACCAACAACTAAAGCAATTTATACTGTCCAGTAGTTATTACATTAACTATAAAAACATTTTATGACTAAACTAACCTATTATTAGTTTATAAATGTCGTGTTAAATTGTATTAAACATCTTTAAAGGCCTTTAAAGTTCCAACAATTTTGTACATGCACTGATTTATACTCGAAATAATTATTTTATTCGCAAGACAATCTACTGTTTTGCTTTGAATAACTATATTTGCGAATCGGGAATGAGGATTTTGAAATTATTGTTCAAGTATTACGGATATACCATTTGTAAACAATGTACGTTTTATACAGTACTGTACGGGCTAATAATATATGTATCCGTTTTATTTAATAAATTATAATTGTATATGTGTTTGTATATTTTACAAACACAAGACTGCTTCTTGCAAAATTGAGAAAATATATATTAATGTAGTTGTGTATAAGACAAAATTTCATGAAAGATTCTACTTTTGGTATATATTTTGACTTATTTTGTGCTTTCGTTACACCTTGTCAACATAATAATAGTGTTGCTTCAAACTTTATGATAAAAAAACGGATTTTCTAGACGTGTATACAAATAAAAATAGTAAGTTTATACTATAAATGAGTTTATTTTACCTGTATCGGTTTAAATTCGCTGTTAAGTTGCAAATAATTCTGTTTGAGAACGCAATAATTGGGCATTTCGCAACCAGGGCAGTTCAGGGCAGTTTTGGCCTTGTTGTTGGGAAATCCACTAGGCCTTCTATTTTTTCGCTTGCGTCAGGCTTGCGTCCTTCCTCCGCCCCGCCCCCAAATCACCTAGTCCCAGTCTTTTCATGTGAAAAAAACGCTGAATATTAAAAAAAATATAAATAAAAATAG